CCTTAAAGGACGAAACAACGTTGTATGCAGATTGATTTAACTTATTATAGCTCCTTAACATTTGTTTTGTTGAGCACTCTATTGAGACTGTCTCTTATACACAATAATAATAATAATAATAATAATAGTATAACATAGAAAATTCAATAGTAAAACGATTGGAGGAATCACGATAGAAAAGTAGTAAACATTTAAATAATTAAAACTTTAAAATACAGACAAAATTAGGCTAAACAATTTATGTCATAAAAGTAAAAAGCGCAAAAGAAAAAAAAACCACTATAATATATACAATATAAAACCATTGAACATTTAAATAATTAAAACCTTAAAATACAGATAATATGAGGCTAAACAATTTGTCATGAAAGTAAACAACGGGAAAGAATAATAATAATAATAATAATAATAATAATAATAATAATAATAATAATAATAATAATAATAATAATAATAATAATAATAAATAAGGCTTTAAAATAACGAAATAATTCGTCATGGATATGAAATTAAAAAAAATCCGGTGGAGGTTCAGTCTTGTCATTGATTTGCTCCTTTGCCGTTTTGGTCTATGCCTATTGCATTTTTGGTAGTTGGCATTGCCGTTTTGGTCTGTTGCCGTTTTGGTACTTATCATTACCGTTTTGGTTTATTACTGTTTGGTTATTGCCGTTTTGGTTTTTTTGTCGTTTTGTCCAGAAACCCGTTAAAATGTTTGAAAACTTCGAATTTAAAAACACTGGAGAATATTTACTATAGACGTTAAATCTTTATATACATCTATACCTATCAACTATGGTTTAGTCGCACTCATATATTTTTTGGAGTAAGACGGTAAACCCCGTGGATACTACAGTATAACTCGGCTTTCAGAATTGGTCTTATGTACTACAGCTTTTGCCTTTAACCATAAATAATATCGCCAAATATCTGGACTTAGCATGGGTAGCAAAATGGCGCCATCGTTTGCATGTCTCTTCATGGGTCATCTCGAAAACCAAATCTTGGAACAATTTAAAGGACCACCTAAACCCGAACTATTTAAACGTTATATTGATGACTGCATAAGGGCTACAGGTGGGGGCATTGAAGAATTACATGGTTTTATTAATTTCGCTAACAATTATCATCAAGCTATTGACTATGAAATTTCCTCGAATTCTATGGCTTTCTTAGATATTAAATTATCTATTGAGGAATTACTAGACTAGAAAAAAAAATTGAAAAAAATGAGTTAGGGGGAGTGGAAAGTGAGAAGCAATCCCCATAGCCAGATATCCTAATTAACCCCTTCTGGTCACCCTAAGCCCTGTTGACGCTTGATTTTACTCCTTGTATACAAATGGCATTTTTCAAAATGGCCGCTAAATTTATCTAAAATGTGCAAAAAATTGAAACTAAATAAGCTACAGATATGATTTTGGTGTCTAAACTAATAATTTCTAGACAGGCAACAATCTAGACATATAAAAACTACTGTCACTCAAGCCAGAATGGAACATAATTAAAAAATAGGTCTAAAAATAATCGCAAAATATACTTACTTAAAATGTACATAAAATNNNNTAAGAACGAGTATATAAGCTAGTTTTCTATGTAATCCAGATAGATTTTTGAGCAAAAATAGATTTTATTGACTGATTTTATCATTTTTACTGCGCTGAATTCAAAAAAGTTAGGTGCCATTTTTTCCCCAAAGTCATCGGCCGCCATTTTGAATTTTAAGATGGCTGACGCACCACATAAAACATGGTCATGATTGGTATCAATGGAAAGCAGTGGCGGATCCAGGGTTTCTCTGTGAAGAAACGTAACAAAATACTGTTGGTTACAAAAACGCATTACCAACCGTTTCTCGCGCATCGTGCGGGACGGTTCCGCTTCAAAGTGATTTTGGATGTAACACGCATTTGGCGGAAACACATGCGTGATCTTAAATTTGTCACGCATTTAGTCCATGCATGACGACGAATAATCACGAATTCAGGGAAAATATATTTAAAAT